AGCCTGAGGTATGTCATATCAACGCCACGTGTTCAAATTTAGAAGGTTCATATTCTTGTCAATGTAAGCCGGGCTTCACTGGAGATGGGCAATTGTGCACAGGTTAGTACAATCAAACGTGAGAAACCATGAAACTATAGGGGTACTTGCCTCCATTCGGAAAGTTACTGTCTTGCCATATATCCTGGAATTTCTGTTCTCATTCTATATGATTTTTTCTGTGTTGGTATTATGTACTAGTCAGGTGAATATGATATGTTTGTGATGGGAATCGAACCTGCGACCTTTGAAATACTAGCCCAACGCTCTGCCAACTGAGCTACGTGGTCAGGGCCGGTCGGTTCGAGTTTGTGATATTTCGGAAATGATTCTAGTTCCTTCGATATCAATGCAATCTAGTAATCATGATTTTTCCTGTGTTGGTGTTATGTACTCAGGTGAATATGATATGTTTATGATTATTTTCGGCTCACTCTCCATCGGCGCCGCAATTTTTTTTTCCGTGGACAGTCGGACTCCTCATTGATAGTCGGACGCATCATTGACCCGCGCCCTTAGACAAAACATTCAGCGGATACTCTTATTAGATGCGCCTTCCCAGTCTTGCGCACGCAATTGGTGATTTCAAAATATTGTATTGCTTGGTTGAGATGTCAAGATCTTCATATCTTGTGTGGCGATGACATTATATTCGCCATTCCCACTTGCTTTTCTTTGCTTTTGTAACTGTTTTTTGTAACTCTTTTTAAGCCATGCCTTTCAAAACACCATGGATAGGATGTATCAATTATTTAGTCTCAATAAATCTATATTTAGTCTCAATAGATTAATAAATAGATTGATAGATTAAAATCCCATGGTGGTAAAGGTAGCTACGAAGCATACAGTGACTTTGTCATAGTGTTAAAGGCAGCTCTCTAAATTGTCATAGTGTTAAAGGCAGCTCTGTATTCTAGTGGATACGCAGATACGCAGTCAAATAGTTATTTTGAGAATGAGGCATACAGTTAGATTAGCATTAGATCAAATTCTCATGCTATAGGTAGCTCTATATTTTAGTGGATACGCGGATACGTGGATACGCAGTCAAGTAGCTATTTTGAGATTAAGACGACAGTTAGTTGGCATTAATAGATTAAATTCTCATGCTATACAGAGCTTAAATCATAAATGTGGTGTAATATGTAAATATGTTCCTCACAACCGGACATTGGTGTTTGACAGATTATGATTAATTAGCGTTGCTGGGAGAAAAATTTTTATATTATAAAGCATACTAAGCATAATATTAAACATTAAAAGTCTTGAATAATATTTCCTTTATAGTATCAATTCGTATTGTCTTGGTAATTAGTTTGTGGAAATTAGAACGAGGCAATAATATCTGGTATATACGTATCCAGTGAAATAGTGGCCGGGCTACATGATATGATATTACTAGTGGACGGGTATTCTGCAATACTTCTATTTGTTTTTAACTCGCAATAACAGTTCTTGAGTATTTTCGGAACCAGAAAAACAAATTTGTAGATTTACAATAGTATCGCGAAACATATCGTTCATCTTTCTGGCGTGGTCGAAGAACAACGTGGAATGATGGATATATGGTGCACCAGTGGGTTACACAGGGTACGAAGGGATCCATCAATAACGCGCAGAGGCCTGGACGCGGATCAATGATGCGTCCGACTATCAATGAGGAGTCCGACTGTCTACGGAAAAAAAATTTGCATCGGCGCCTTTCAGTGACTGATTACATCCATTATTACACTCAGTAATGATATTATCTACTAAGCTTAGACTATTTATTTTTACAACTCAATTGTGATATTACTTTCCTAACTATGTTTGTCTGCCCAGAGAAAACTCACGACTTTCGGCAGAGCGTTGACAAATGAGTCCATAGCGAGAATCGAACCCACGATATCTCCTCCCTTAGTCAAATTAAAATTATGGCCATTTCATTATTCAATATGTATTTGTTCTGCACTACAACATTCATTAAAATCATGAACATTTATCCAATATGGTCTATCGTTGTTTAGATTTCACGGAATGTGGAGCCAACAATCCTTGTCATGTCAATGCAACCTGTACCGAAGAACTTGGTAGTTTTAAATGTTATTGCAAGCCTGGTTTCACTGGCGATGGATTGAACTGCGCAAGTAATTGCCACTGATATCACATTTGTGTCGGTTTTCTTCGATCGTTCGAGGTTTATAACTAGCTTATATACCTTGAATAAATGATTAGATTAAACTTCTAGACAAAACGCGAGAATTTTTCATTAAAAATTTTTGAAAATAGCAAAATATGTTAGAAAACCTCCACAAATGTGCAGATACAATATGGTTTTTAAGTAAAAATATGGATTGTTTAATTTTCAACATCAGAGCGTTTTCGAATAAACAACAATTACGTGCTGCCCATGTGATTACAAAAACATTTTATTTATGCCCCAAATCTGTTTTAAATGCAAAACTTGCACTGGAACAACAAGAAACATATATAAAGAACCGTTTTTATATTGTACATGCCAAGTTCCATCAGGAATGAACAACATTTAGGATGAGCAAACCAAATTTACTTTTTCGCCTTTAATTTGGAGGACAAATTTTTGTTTCTTTATGGAACAAAGTTTCCCCCGCAATGAATTGAGCATTTAAAAGAAGAAATATTCTTCACCACTAGTGGCTATACTCACTAAAGTTTTAAAATATCATTGCATTGCAGATATTGATGAGTGCACCGAACAGCCTGAGGTATGTCATATCAACGCCACGTGTTCAAATTTAGAAGGTTCATATTCTTGTCAATGTAAGCCGGGCTTCACTGGAGATGGGCAATTGTGCACAGGTTAGTACAATCAAACGTGATAAAACATGAAACTAAGGGTACTTGCCTCCATTTGGAGAGGTTACTGTCTTGCCATATATCCTGGAATTTCTGTTCTCATTCTATGATTTTTTCTGTGTTGGTGTTACTCTGAGTGTATATCCACACAGGGAAAGCTTGGAAAATATGCCTAGCCACGGTGGGAATCGAACCTGCGACCTTTGGAATACTAGCCCAATGCTCTGCCAACTGAACTACGCGGTCAGTCGGGTCAATGACACTCAAGAGAAGCTCAGATTGAACCTCCACTCATTGAGTGTGAGTGAGCTTTTAGAATACGGGCGTAAAAATGCCGAAAATCAAGCCACAGAAAAGTTCCAACTTTTCCCGCTCAACACCTCCTAGTTGGGTCCCTTTTTCCTGATGGTTCCTGACGCCCCTCCACTGACAAATTCGTAAAAGAGGCCATGCGCCATGAAACAAACAACGACTAGAATTAAAGCACTTATTGAGTAATAACCGTGAAAAACAACAGATACAATATGGTTTTTAAGTAAAAATATGGATTGTTTAATTTTCAACATCAGAGCGTTTTCGAATAAACAACAATTACGTGCTGCCCATGTGATTACAAAAACATTTTATTTATGCCCCAAATCTGTTTTAAATGCAAAACTTGCACTGGAACAGCAAGGAACATAAGAACCGTTTTTATATTGTACATGCCAAGTTCCATCAGGAATGAACAACATTTAGGATGAGCAAACCAAATTTAGTTTTTCGCCTTTAATTAGGAGGACAAATTTTTGTTTCTTTATGGAACAAAGTTTCCCCCGCAATGAATTGAGCATTTAAAAGAAGAAATATTCTTCACCAGTGGCTATATTCACTAAAGTTTAAAAAAATCATTGCATTGCAGATATTGATGAGTGCACCGAACAGCCTGAGGTATGTCATATCAACGCCACGTGTTCAAATTTAGAAGGTTCATATTCTTGTCAATGTAAGCCGGGCTTCACTGGAGATGGGCAATTGTGCACAGGTTAGTACAATCAAACGTGATAAAACATGAAACTAAGGGTACTTGCCTCCATTTGGAGAGGTTACTGTCTTGCCATATATCCTGGAATTTCTGTTCTCATTCTATGATTTTTTCTGTGTTGGTATTATGTACTCAGGTGAATATGATATGTTTGTGATGTTACTCTGAGTGTATATCCACACAGGGCAAGCTTGGAAAATATGCCTAGCCACGGTGTGAATCGAACCTGCGACCTTTGGAATACTAGCCCAATGCTCTGCCAACTGAGCTACGCGGTAAGGTCGGTTCAAGTATGTGATATGTCTTGCGGAACTGACTCTAGTTCCTTCGATATCAATGCAATCTTGTAATCATGATTTTTTCTGTGTTGGTGTTGTGTACTCAGATGAATATGATATGATTATGATTATTCAGCTCACTCCCCATCGGGGATTTTCAGTGAGCGATTATATCAAGCATTACACTTTGTTATATTAACTACTAAGCTTAGACTATTTATTTTTACAACAATTGTGATATCACTTTATAAAATAACATGTACATATATAACGTATACTCTGACTATCGTGTTGTTGTTATTTTATAAAACAATTACTTTATGGTTTCCGTGTTTGGATGGCCTGATCCAAACACTTGGGAATGTTGCTAGAGTTAAGAAAAGCGCGCAAATTCACTCGCCTTCGATATTCGGCTCGTGTTTCGCGCGCTTTTCTTAACTCTCGCATCAATCCCGTGTGTTTAGATTAGGCCATCCAAACGCGGAAACCATAAAGTAATTGTATATTCCCAACTATGTTTAGCCGCCCAGAGAAAACCCGCGACTTTTGGCAGAGCGTTGACAAACTCTTTTCACACGTGTCGCCGTATGAGTCCATATATAGCGAGAATCCAACCCACGATATCTCCTATCTAATTAGTCAAATTAAAATTATGGCCATTTTATTATTTTTATATGTATTTAGGCGACTGCCTCGTTGAATGAAATATTCCATCTTTCACCGAATGAAAATATATTTTTACCATTGCACGAATAAACATTCATCATTTGTTTTATATAATACCAAAATAGACTAATAGATTCGTATATGAGTGAAGCATTTTGACGGATTCGATTTAACACAAAGAGTGCAATGGAATAAAACGTATAGTAGCTACAATTGTACTCGCAAAGAATGCAATGGAACGTATTCCATTGCACTCTTGGGAAATGGAATTTTCTATTCAATATCACGTCACCATAAACAGCCAATTAAACGATCAGAATTCAATAAGGTATATACTGTATACTCGATATCTCCTATCTAATTATAGTCAAATTAAAATTATGGCCATTTTATTATTTCTATATGTATTTAATTTGTTCTGCACTACAACTTTCATTAAAATCATGAACATTTGTCCAACATGGTCTATCTTTGTTTAGATATCATGGAATGTGAGGCCAACAATCCTTGCCATGTCAATGCAAACTGTACCGAAGAACTTGGTAGTTTTAAATGTGATTGCAAGCCTGGCTTCACTGGCAATGGATTTTTTAACTGCACAAGTAATTGTCACTTAATTTTATTCATACTCGAAAAACTATTGGCCTGACAACTACTTTATTTTCTCCAGGTCAAATATAAATACGTGTTGAAGTACGTCTAACATGCTAAATGCAAACACCGAATGCGATATGTCCTCATTGTTATTACTGTTATCTGACTGTTGTTGAACAAAATATTTGATGATTTTAGTGAGAAAATGCAATCTATTCGCTTTTATATTTGATGTAGATATCAATGAATGTCTTCAGTCAGACATTTGTCATGCTGAAGCAGACTGTCAAGATTTCATTGGAACGCATCGTTGTACTTGCAAGCCCGGTTTCACCGGAGACGGGATTACATGCACAGGTACTAGCTAATTACTAGCTTCTGTAGAGGTGTATATTAATCACCTAATCCAGTTGAAACATGAGTTTTTACTCGAGTACGGATGGAGTATACATGACCTATACAGAATATAAAGAATGAATCTTGAAGCAAAGAAGTGAAGTCGGGAAACATGGAAAGAAGATGCGGATAGTGGGCTTCTTTTTACCATAGTGTTAATGTGTATAGTAAGCTTCGCTTTACTATAGCCTGCTACTGTAGATCGATGGTAGGGGATTTACCGAGGTTGGATGACTTTCCTGTACTTGGAACTCGTGTGAGTAGAGTTCAGTTCGTTATGTCGTGTGCTTTGGGTCGTCATGTTTCCTCCCTTTCCAAAAACTGATCCTTGCAGTAGGATTCGTATTGACCAGAAAGTAATGGCCCACACCGCCACGGTAACAGCTCAAATGGTTTACTAATACACAAATGTATACATTCGAATTAAATGTGAACAGATGAAAATTTGAAGGGTATAAATGGATACTGTGCGCTGAAACACATGCACCAAAAAGTGAACTTTACTTTTTATACCTGTTTCAGATATCGACGAATGCCAGGAAAACAGCGATAATTGTCATAACAATGCCACGTGTTCAAATAATGAAGGAAGTTTCGACTGCCAATGTATCCAAGGTTACACAGGTGATGGTACAGATTGTGCAGGTACGGTGCAAGTAGACAGAAATATCTGCTCTTATATAGGCGCCATTTTGCAACAACAATTTTAAATGCAACAATACCTTACCTCTGAAATTTTCTAATCTTTACAATCCTATTCCTCACCTTACCCTAAAACCCCTTCATAATACTTCCCCTAATCCTATAACCATACCCTAATCCTGATCGAATTTTTAGATGTTGACGAATGTTCCACTGATGAAATTCATGATTGCGATGTCGTAGCTACATGCACGGATACAGATGGTTCATATTACTGTACCTGTAATTCTGGCTACACAGGAGATGGACGTTTTTGTGCAGGTTAGTTTTCATTAAAATAGCCGGAAATATAACTCGATCATGTCTAACGACAGATAAAGTGGGGTGTATTATATTTACATCGATTTTTAAGGATTTGCGAAGTAAAATCCTTTATGTCATCGGGTGTGTAAGATAGATAGATAGACAGTAACACATTAGTAACGTTGAGTTCCGAGTCAAGTATTCGTGAACCGCCGGAAGCTATTATCCGCCATTTAAATTTGTGTTTGTCGATATTCGCAATCTTTCGGGCAAAAACCCCGCTCATTTTCGTAGAATACACTAACGACTAAACATTGTACCACTTACTTTCAGCTAAACGAATGAATATATGACTGTTTTGTGCGAGAAATACAAATGGAAAAGGTCCTAAAAGACAAATTCGTTCAACTCATGAGCGGCCGTATAAAATAAAATCAAAAGCGGTGTTTCCACTATAAATTTCATTCGTATTCATTGGCAATGAATTAGAAATGTATTGCCTGTTGCGGAATGCGAAAATATCGAAATAATTTTTTTTTTATCCAAACGTTAAATTATAAAATATCTTCAACATTTCTACAAATTCAGTTATTTTTTTTATCTTTGAGGCAGTGATAAAGCCATTTAAAAGTTGTAGTAGATTAACTTTGAATATAACAGTAATTAAACAAAGTTGACATTCGAAGAAAAGATTTGTCATGCATGATGTTGTGTTTTGTTATACTACATTTCGGGCGATATTTTTCCATCGTTCTTGCATTATGAACTGATACTTTTCAATCTTTCTTGCATTATAAAATTGACAACAAAATTACAAATCCTTACGCACTCTTTGAGTGCCTATTTTTTATTTTGGTCTGACAATATTGTCGGACTTCTTTAAAACTAAAATAAGTTGGCAAAGTTGCCTTCTTTAAAACTAAAATAAATTCAGTGGCGTAACTACTATGGGCTCGGACTGGGAGAGCCCGCGGGGACCCCCAACCCCAATGGGCCAAATGGGGCCTCCAGGCTCAGGCTGTAGAGCAAAAACATTGGCCAGGACCTCTGATATGTTACAATGTCGTAACAGCTATACATTTACATTTCAATACAGCTATACATTTACATCAGGAGTAGAATCTCAAGAGAAAAAATAACATACAACATTCGCTGGACTAATAGGTGGCTGCTGCATGGCACCAGGCGTGCATGTGGAAAAGAAGAAATTCGTTCATGTCATTACCATCACAAAAAATAACATCGTAAGAACAAGAATATCAATACACCTATACATAAATTTTCATCATAAGTAGAATCTCAGGAGACAAAAAGTATATATAACGCACGTTGTGTGTCGTAGGTGAGTTGTGCACTTGTGCATGTGCTTGATTTACGCAGTACAAGTACAACTCATGACAAGTTGTGAGCAAGTTGCAAGCGACAGTTTTAGGCAAAAGTTGAGTAGTGTAAATCGGCTCAGTTACGAAGATA